AATTGGTATAAGATGATCTTTGAATTTATCATAGAATTCTGCACTGAGGCCATCTGGGCCTGGGCTTTTTTTGGTTGGGAGACTTTTGATGACTGTTTCTATTTCCATAGTGGTTATAGGTCTATTTAAATTGCTTATCTGTTCTTTATTTAATTTTGGCAGGTGATATCTATCCAGAAAGTTGTCCATTTCCTTTAGTTTTTGAATTTTGTGGAGTACAGGTTTTCAAAGTATGACCTGATGATTCTTTGGATTTCCTCTGAGTCCTTTGTTGTATCTCCATTTTCATTCTGATTTTGTTAATTTTCATGTTCACATTTTGCTGTTTGGTGAGTTTGGATAAAGGTTTGTCTATTTTGTTGATTTTCTCAAAGAACCAACTCTTCGTTACATTGATTCTTTGTATCGTTTTCCTAGTTTTTACTTTATTGAGTTCAGGCCTCAGTTTGATTATTTCCTGGGGGTCTACTCCTCCTGGGTGAGTTTCTTCATGTGGGAACTTAGTGCTATGAACTTTCCACTTAGCATTGCTTTCAAAGTGTCCCATAAATTTGGGTATGTTGTGTCTTCATTCTCATTGAATTCTAGGAAGTCTTTAATTTCTTTTTTTATTTCTTCTGTGACCAGCGGTGGTGCAATTGCACATTATTCAATTTCCATGAGTTTGTAGGGTTTCTGTAATTTGTGTTTTTGTTGAATTCTAATTTTAAAGTATGGTGGTCTGATAAGATACATGGAGTTATTCCAATTTTTTTGTACCTGTTGAGGTTTGATATGTTGCCAAGTATGTGGTTGATTTTTGAGAAGGTTCCATGTGGCGCTGAGAAGAAGATATATTCTTTTGTGTTTGGATGGAATGTTCTATAGATGTCAAACCCAATTGGGTAATAACTTCTATTAGTTCCTCTGTTTCTTTGTTAAGTTTCATCTGGTAGTCCTGTCTAGTGGTGAGAGTGGGGTGTTGAAGTCTCCCACTATAACTGTTTGAGGTTTTATGTGTGGTTTGAGTTTTAGTAATATCTCTTTTATGAATATGGATGACTTTGTGTTTGGGGCATAGATGTTCAGAATCGAGACTTCATCTTGGTGGATTTCTCCTGTGATGAATATGAAATGACCCTCTTCATTTCTTTTTATTGATTTCAGTTTAAAGTCTAGTTTGTTAGATATTATGATAGCTACCCCTGCTTGTTTCTTGGGTCAATTGGATTGGAAAATCTTTTTCCAACCCTTAACTCTGAGGTAACATCTGTCTTTGAAGCTGAAGTGTGTTTCTTGTATACAGCAGAAGGATGGATTCTGTCTTTGAATCCATTCTGTTAGCCTGTGCCTTTTTATGGGTGAGTTAAGACCATTAATGTTTAGGGATATTAATGACCTTTCATTGCTCATTCTTGTTTGTTTTGGAATGCTTGATGGTGGTGGAATTGTGTGTGGATTTCCACACCTTTTCTCTTTTGGCTGTTGGTAAAGTGGGATTATCTGTTACCTATGTTTGTCTGGTTGTAGCTGACTTCCTTGGATTGGAGTTTTCCTTCTAGAACTTTCTGTAGGGCTGGGTTAGTGTATATGTATTGCTTAAATCTGGTTTTGTCATGGAATATCTTGTTTTCTCCATCTATATTGATTGACAGCTTTGCTGAGTATAGTAGTCTGGGATGGCATTCATGGTCTCTTAGTGTTGATAGAATATCTATCCAGGACCTTCTGGCTTTCAGAGTTTCCATAGAGAAGTCAGGTGTAATTCTGATAGGTTTGCTTTTATATGTTATTTGACCTTTCTCCTTAGCTGCTCTAAGTATTCTTTCTTTATTCTGTATGCTTGGGGTCTTGATTATTATGTGGCAAGGGGACTTTTTTTTGGTTCACTCTATTTGGTGTTCTGTAAGCTTCTTGTACCTTCATTGGTATGTCTTTCTTTAGGTTGGGAAAGTTTTCTTCTATGATTTTGTTGAATATGTTTTCTGCCCTTTTGAGTTGTGTTTCTGTACCTTCTTCTATACCCATTATTCTTAGGTTTGGTCTTTTCACAGTGTCCCATATTTCCTGGATGTTTTTTGTTAGGGATTTGTTGGACTTAAGATTTTCTTTGGTCGATGAATCTATTTCTCCTAGTGTGTCTTCAACACCTGAGATTCTCTTTTTCATCTCTTGTATTCTGTTGGTTATGCTTGCATCTGTAGTACCTGGCCTTTTCCCCAGTTTTTCTATTTACAGCATTCCTTCAGACTGTGTTTTTTATTGTCTCCATGTCAGCTCTCAACCATTGCAATGTTTGAATTGTTTCTTGTAATTTTTGCTTTGTATTTTCCTCCCATTCTTGCATTTATTAGATATTTTGGTTTGTTTTTTTCTTCCATTTCTTTAAGGGATTTTCTCATATCCTCTTTGAGGGCCTCTATCATTTTCATGAAAGTGTTTTTAAGGTCATTGCCTTCTGCTTCATCTTTACTGGGGTGTTTAGGTTTTGCTGGTATAGAATCTCTAGACTCTGGTGGTGTCATATTTGTTTTTCAGTTGCTGAGTGTGTTCTTATATTGCCTATTTCCCATCACTTCTTCCAGTGGATGTAGTAAGAGCCTCTTCCTCTCCTGGTGGGTAGGCAACCAGGGTTCCCTTTCGGTGAGTGCAAACAAATCCAATATTCTCTGCCCTTTGCTCTCTACTCTCTGTCCTCTGCCTGAGTGTGGGCAGGAGTGGACCTGCTCTCTCTGAAGGCTCCTGGTAGCTTGGTCGTCAGGGGGCGAGTTGGCCTGGCTGCTGTCTCCAGGTCAGGGGATCCGAGAGAGGGGGAGTGGGAGGAATTTGTGTCTAAGATGGGGACCCAGAGCTCATCTCTCTCCTCTGCCTGAGTGTGGGCAGAAGTGCATCGATTTATTTTAAATGCAGACATGGGTTCTACTCATGTGAAATTCTCAAACAGTATCATGGGAGGTGACTGGGCTGGGGTCTGCATTTTAATAAACAAGCTGGTTGATTCCAACAAAAGAGATCTGTGTTAAACTATTTCAAGTGACTTTCCTCCAATTCCAATCCTGTGTCAAGCTCCACTTCAGCTGATAAAGTCTGCTTCCCTTATACTTTTACCATCCAGCAATAAACCCATAGTTCAAGCTACTCCTTTTCCACTTTAGACGACTACCAACATTCCAAGGAGCTGCTTTGGACTTTAAATTTTTAATGTGTCAACTACTTGCCCCCCACTACTTTATCATGACATTTCTCTAACACTATAAACATATTTATGTGATGAAGTTCTTTGCAGAGATATGAAATATAGTATTTAGAATGTTTCCTCCAAGATGTTGGGAGATGTCGTTCTGTAAATATGTGTTTGATTGGTTTGAATAAAGCACTGTTGGCCAATAGGAAAACAAGACAGGTGGGACCAAGAGTCTAGGAGGATTCTGGGAATTATAGTGAGGAGAGGTCTTGCCATGTGATCTCCTAGGAGCCACGGGCACTCAGGAGTGCATCCTCAAAAAGATAAGTTCTTATAAAATATATATTAATAATTATGGGTTAATAACAAATCAGAGCTAGCCGATAAGAAACCAAGCAAATGGCCAACAGCTTCATAATAAAAAAAAAAGAATGTTTCCTCCAGGGCATCACCAAAGATTCATTTTTACCTTCCTGGCAGAGATGCTGCCTACACAGGAAAGCTTCATGTAAATCAAAGCCTTGGGATACCCACAGACCCCAACCCACTCCCATTCATCTTTCCCTGAGGCTCTGCTTCTCCACAGTGCTGCCACCTACTGCCAGAAGTTGTTCAAAAGTGTTGCAAATCGACCCCCAAACGTCTTGTCAGTTCCTTTCTTTCTTTGAATGGTTGCAGTTGTCTGCTGGCCACCTTCCCACGGCCACCCTTCGAATCTGTCTCCACGAAGAGCTGACTATCTCCCACCCCTGCTTTAGTCATCAGGGCTTCCCTGCTGCCAGTGAGAGGAAGTTTCAATCCTTCAAGACAGTGACCAAGCTCTCTCAAGTGTAGCGGCCAGTGCAGCTTGTCTGTTTCATGCTTTCTTTCTCTCCCTTTATGCTCCTGCTTTACTGAGCTAATCTTACTATGTCATGTGACTTTGACCTTCACCCACTGGTTCTCTCTTTCTGAAACTCTTACTCCACATTACCTGGTTTATTCATTTACATTCTTTGAAACTCAGCCTCCCTTGATCATCTTAAAGAGTCATCCCTGAGAGCACTAATGATGTTCAACCGTCCTCCTGCATAGTATCCAAACATTCTTCTCATGGTGTTTCTCTGAACCCTTGTGTGTCTCACATTAAATCCTCAAATTGTGGGTGGTAGCAATTGCTTCTTTTTATCTATCTATCCCCAGAAGCTACCGGAGCCCTTGGCACATGACAAATGTTCAAGAAACCATTTACTACACTAAACTTGAGATGCTCTTCCCAAGGTTGAGGCTACTAATTAGTATTAAAATGCACAAAAAAGCAGGTGTCCAGGAAGGAGCTATAAAGAAAACATGGCCTTGATAATTCACCAATGGGTAATTATTTCTAAATAATTCAGATGAACCAGAATTGGTCCTGAAAGATGCCCAAACATCCAGGCAGTTCTTTGGAAAAGTCAGCCAGTTGGCATCACAGAAACCCAAACATTCAACAAGCCATCCCAGTGGGCTCGTGGCGTTTCAGCAGGTGTCTGTGAAGCCTGTGATGGAAGGAATCACTGATCACACTTTATTCATTTCTCCCTTCTCCCACGTGCCTTTCCTCCCTCATCCAGCAAACCTACGCTGGGGTTACAGCACCCGTGTGAACCGCAGATACGGAAAAGCACTCTTATTTGAGTAAGCTCCCTGCACTGCAAAGAATAAACACAGCATCCATGGAAAACCCTACATATGAAAGGGCAAGTTGAACCAAGTTTCTGTGAAGCAGGGCCCCCTTTTAGGTCCGGGACACGTGGCCTCTCCGGCTGAATGGACAGACATCTGAATGTGCGAGAGCGGCTAACAGCAACCCAAACAAGACGGCCATTCTCACTCCGCTCAGACCATCGCTCAGAGGGGCCTGCGCTAGGACGGACTCTACATGCTAAGTAACTCCTTTTCTTCATTCATGTTGACTTGATGGCTGGAGCCAGGTGAAAAGACAATTGACCCAAACAGCCGCACTGAACGTGAAGCTTCGCTAACGAGGTGGGCATTGTAAGACTCCAAGTGCGTGCCACTTTCTAGAACTGCATCCTTTATGCAAAGGGAAAATTATTAAAGAAGACTGGGGTGGGCAGCCTAGGAGCCCTTTGGTGGGCTGTTTTCTACTTTTGTTGTGTTGTGCGCTTTCTTGCAGGCGACTTTTGGGCAAATACTGCATCTTCAGCCAGGAGAAGTTGGCGGAGTACAAAAGGGCTTTTGAAGCAGCGAGTGTAAATTCAGACTCCTTTTCTTCCTTCCTTCCTTCCTTTCTTTCTTTGCCTCCTCTCTTTTCCTATGTCTGCAGACCGCTCAGTGGAAATAATAAGCACCATTGCTTGCCGTCCGCATCCCATGAATTACTCAATCATCAAATGCAGCTCTAGAAAGGAGGCACGCTTTATTCTCTTCGGCAGAAGTCTCTGCCCATTCTTTATTTACGTGTCGCTGTGGGGCTAAGCAATACACAGCCCATCAACACACACACACAACACACACACACACACACACACACACACACACACACACACACACACACACACACACACGGCCATTAAACAAATTAAAAGGATGGGGCTGACTAGCACAGTACCCTTGGAATCCTCAATTTGATTAGCCCAAGTTTAATACACAAAAGCTAGGGAAGGAGGGGCCAACTGCTCTTTAATAACCTGTACAATTAAATTATGCTGCTGAATCTAACTATTCTGTGCTTTTTAACGGAGTCTTATTATCTGATTACTTATAGAAGAGAATTGTGTCTTCAGCCTTTCTGAGCAAGTCATAGAGAGGCTCGCTCTGGCAGCTTTATGTTTTAACTGACGGTTCTTTTCACTTTCTGGAACCGTTTTTTTTTTTGTTTGTTTGTTTGTTTTGTTTTTGCTGTCATGCACTTTATCTTCAAAATATTTCAAATAGTTTTAGTTTCTTGTGAGCCCCTGTCTTTCTTTCAGGCTCCTTGAAGCCTGGGTTCAGGAAAGGTATTGTAATTAGAAAATGCTTTTCCCTTGGGTTCAAGTACATTTAGATTGAGCGTTGCCTAATTGTCTTAATGTATTTTAGAATGTAGAGAGCATCCGGTTCCTTTCTTTCTGGGGGAGGTATTCTGATTCATGAGATCTGGGGGCTGGAGAGATAGCTCAATGGTTAAGAACATCTAAAGCTCTTGCAGAGGATAAGTTTTGGTTTCCAGTTTCCAAGTTGAATAGCCCACCATCTTCAGTAACTCCTGCTCCAGATGATCTAAGGTATCTGACTGCCTGGGCATTCTCTCTCTCTCTCTCTCTCTCTCTCTCTCTCTCTCTCTCTCTCTCTCTCTCTCTCTCTCACACACACACACACACACACACACACACACACACACACAAATTTTTTACAAGGATTGGGGCATACTACCAAACATTAAAGGGCTATTTATGACAGAGACTGGTACAGTGTGGTTTGATTTTCTAAGACTCAATCTGCCATGCTATGTTTTTTCTCTCTGTGAGGATTTTGTTTTAGATGGGTTCTTACTGTTTGCTCAAGTTGACTTCAAACTGATGATCCTGTGTCTTCCTGCTCAGTAGTTAAGACTGAGGAATTGTGAGTATTCATTAAAACACCTGGATTACAATTATCATTTTTTATGAGAAGACTATGCAAGTCTATCCAAGAATCCCTCACTGCAAGGTTGGAACAAAACTCAAGCTATCATATTCTGTGGGTTTTGACTCCTTTGTTCATATTATCACTCCTCCCTCATTTCCATTGTACTCCAGGAACTTGGCCCAATAGCTAACTGTGGATTTTTGCATCTGCTTCCATCTATTTCTAAAAGAGGGTTCTATCGTCTCTCTAGTTGTGGATTGTAGGTTGAGTATCTTTTGCTTTATGCCTGGTACCCACTTATGAATAAGTACATACTATATTTGTCATTCTTGGTCTGGGTTATCTTACTCACGATGGTTTTTTCTAGTTCTGTCTATTGATTCTTACCACTGTGTAAATGCACCACATTTTCTTTATCCATTCTTCAGTTGAGGGACATCTGGTTTGTTTCCAAGATCTGACTATTACGAATAATGTTGCTATGAACATGGCTGAGCAAATGTCCTTGTGTGAATGTGCCTCCTTTGGGTATATGCCCAAAAGTGGTATTGCAGGCTCTTGAGGTAGGTTGATCTGTAATTTTCTGAGAAATCACCATATTGATTTCCACAGCAACTGTACAAGCAATGGAAGAGTGTTCCCCATTCTCTACATCCTCTCTAGCATAAGCTGTCATTGGTGGTTTTGATCTTGGTCATTCTGATCCGTGTCAGATGGAATCTCTGAGTTGTCTTGATTTGCATTTTCCTGATGACTTATGGATGTTAAGCATTTCCTTGAGTGTCTTTCAGCCATTTGAGATTGACCACTTCCTAAACAGAACACCAGTAGCACAGACACTGAGAGCAACAATTAATAAATAGTACCTCCTGAAACTGAGAAGCTTCTGTAAAGCAAAGTATACGGTCAACAAGACAAAATGGCTTCCTACAGAATGGGAAAAGATCTTCACTAACCCCACATCTGACAGAGGATTCATCTCCAAAATATACAAAGAACTCATGAAACTAGACCTAAAAACCACCAAATAATCCAATGTTTAAAAATGGGGTATGGATCTAAACAGAGAATTCTCAAAAGAGAATGTTTTTACTACTCGCTTCTATCACAGCTGCTACTGGACCTGAGTTGCTCTTGGAAAATCAGGACTACCCATTTCCACCTGAGGTGCACACGATGAATAAGCAGCAGTGAATTGTGGGAGTATCATTTTCAGATGCAAACAATAGCAACTTCTTGCTGGGACCGAGTCCCAAGAATCCCATGTGATCTTCCAAGGGGTTTTCAGGTTGCACTTTGTTTCAGTGTAGAATAGTTTGGGAGTGAAGAGTCCCGATACCAAAGCCAGACAATTTGGTGTCAGATCTCAACTTCTGACCCCTACTGTCCCAACAGGAATTAGTGCCTGTGTCCAATGTGTTCCTGGAAAGAGTTAAGCTTCAATGAGTGATGCTGTGGCTTTTATTAGCCTGCAGAGGCAGCACTGTTCATCTGCAAATCTCAGAATCGGGCTCTGGTCTAGAGTCACATCTGGTATAGAGGAAAGGAGCTCAGAATCGTCTTCTTTCTGGAAGACAGAGAGAATGCCTTCCTTTACTTATACTCATCACCAGCCCCAAATGTGTGTGCACATAATGAGAAGCAGTGTGACACAGGTTCATAAAAGGGAATGATCAAATTCCTGCAGTGAGCTAATGAGGTGGATTAAGATGAGAAGAAATTAAATGGAAGACCAAAGTATAGAAGACACAACTGTAACAAAGAGACAGGTAGGTGCGGAGTAAGAGAGGCTGGGAGGCGTGGATGGAGGGGAAACTGCTGTCACTGTGTAACGTGTGAGAGAGCAGTTAAAAAATAAGGAGAAGATTAAACACTACTGTAGAGAAAGCAAAGGAAGCATTTGCCTAATGAAAACCACTGATACAAGCAAAAGAAATAGCATAAACATTAGATGAATGTTACAAAGATTTCTCAGTTGCCCTTCCTGTCATGACTTAGGATATAGGAGAAAGGCAAAATCCATTTTGTTATAGTAGAGGGCATTGAATTTGCACAGAAAGCTTGGCAAGGACTCCTGACCTTCATGGGCAGAGGCATGATTCTCTGAGTCCAGCATTTGTGAGAATCAGATTTTCCTTAAAACATTAGGGTGTCCACAAATGACATTTAGTCAAGCACTCTCCCATGAAAAATCCAGAGAGGAAGTAAGAGAGCTGGAGGGCAGCTTTTCTACTCCCAAGTGAATTCAAACTTATTCCTTAGAGTCTGCAAGTTGCTGGTCCCTTGTTTATAAATGAGGGCATTAAATTGAAGAGTCCTCAATCAGTTACATTTCATTATCTTATATGATATACCATATAGATGCCACTTCAAAATGAAATGAAATTACCTTGGTTTCATAATACTTGGTAGCAGCCATGGGGTGACAATTTCTCCCCCAAAGAACCACTGAGTTACTGGAGAGATGAGGACTGCTTCAAAGCTGTTTAAAGAAAGCTCTGTCCACGAAGTTCAATTATTGAGCAATACAAACCACCATGCCCATAGGGTCAGGTGGTGGGAAGTTTAATGATTAACTTGTGGGATTTGAATTCAAGAGACACACTTGGTGAAACTCAGATGCTATGCACAGATGCAGGTGATGTTGGCTTCAGAATTGGGTAATTATAGCATGTTTTCCTGAAAAAAATTCCAGGAAAAAAATTCAACGCTCTTGGAAAGAGTTTGTAGAAAATCGCTGAAAGGGACAAACAAAAATCTTGGAATGGTTTGTTAGAATATAGTCACCAACAGAGGACAATGGATTTGCTGCACAACACAGTCATGAAACATCTCACTGCAGTTGTGGGTTGGCTTAGGGGTTGTGAAATCAAAGGCAAGGCTTTGCTTCTCCAAGTCTCTCTTTCTCCCCCTCCCTGCTTTTTTTCAGTGACAGGGTTTCTCTGTGTATGTAGCCTTGACTATGTTGTAACTAGTTCTGTTGACTAGGCTGGCCTCAAACTCACAGAGATCCACCTGCCTCTGTCTCTCGAGTACTTGGATTAAAGGTGTGCACCACCACCACCCAGCTTTTCTTTCTCTTTCTGTATGAATACAGATGAATATACATGTTGGGAGGGAACTAAGTAAGTGGAAACATAGAATTCTGAAATTAATGTAGTTATTATTGCCATTATTGATCTCATAGCCTAATTCTATCCACCCAATTGCCTAATTCTTTCTATCATTCATGCTATCACCTACTTTTCCACTGACACAGAGTCAGAAATCTACACAGCAGGAGACCTGGGTGATTCATGAGCTCTAGCAACCTCCTTCTGCCTACAATTTGGGAAATGAATGAGTGAGCTTTTGAACACTCCATTGTTCTACTTTGTGCTTTATGTAATCAATTCTGGAGTCCCAAATGAGCAATT